ATATTTTATACATATCTTACCATATATTGCAGCTCCTGCCATTTCAAATATTGCACTAGTCCATACTGCAATCTGGATTAAAATGTAGATACATTGTGCAGCCCTTATTAAAACAACTATTTCTTATTGGTCGTGAATTAGAACAATGAAGAGTTATGCAAAGTTTCATGTCAGTCAGAGCCCTGATTTCCATGGGCATGATTTAGGTGATCCAAAACACTAACACTCAACACTTCACAGTAGCATGGGTTTCGATCGATAACCAATATTTGATGGATGCTGACATCAGTCATGCCACCTTGAGTAACCCTCTGTAGGATCCAGTATCTACTGTTCAACTACGTAAAGATACCTCGAACTGCAGCCTACTTGGACTTCCTATTCACGTCAAGCTTACTTAGTTCATCGTGCAATGATTCAGGCATAAAGTATCTATCTCTGTGTGTGTGTTGAAAACTCTCATGATTAGTGTTCTCAGTGACTGGCTGGCTGATGGGGTTGATTTGTCCGACAGTGCTGTGTGTCAGGCGGTCTCAGCGTCCACACTGGAGAACATGAGTGAAGGAGCGGATAATTAATAGTGACAAGGCGCTCCCAGCCTTAATTGCTGCTGGTGAATTAGATTACCTTTTCAAAGTGCCGTCATTAGCAGAGGGAGAGCCATACCAATGGTCCCCTGATTGGCCTCATATTGTTTTGCTGTGAACTTGCTCTGGCAGGTCGCAAGGATGTGTGTGTGCATTTGTGAGGATGTGTGTTTGTTTTGGATTGAAATTGCTCTCTAATTTTCATCTGTAGTTTGACTGTGTGTACATGTGTGTGAGTTATGCACATCCAGTGTCAATAATGTCAAGTTGTCAAAGTGACACATTTAGTAGGAAGTGTGTCTCTTGTCTAATTGGCCATTGACTGCTACCACACATTTAAATGATTGGTTCACACAAAATACAAAAAACTGATTATTTTAATTGGTTTTATTTGACCACGTTTTGAGATATCTGCCTCTACATTATACTGTCACCCCAGTACAGTGGGAGTCAATGGACAATTGCAATTTGAGGATTTAATAATAATACATTGTATTTAAGGGTGCCTTTCACGACATCCAAGGACATTGTACAATTGAGTAAATACTCACTAAGAGGTTAAAAGCAACAGAACATGATACAACACTAACATGTAATCACAGCCTCTTTTCACCCTCTGTCTGAAACCAGAGTCCAGTCTGCTCTGATTGGTTAGCTGGCTGGCTCTGTTGTGATTGGTCAGATGCTTAGAGATGACTTGCCCATTAGTCTATCAGGCACATTACATAGTGATGTCGCTATGTCACAGAAGTAAACAAAGCAGTCGTGTGTGTGTGTGTGTGTGTGTGTGTGAGAAACTCCCTCTGGCCTGAACTTTGTTGTTGGACTGGCAGACCATCAACATGCACTAAAACGTAAAACACACTACAGGAAAGGGAAAACCCCAACAAGCAAAGGAGTTTCTTTGTTGTTTTCTTTGTCTCTCTGGATAGTAGGAAGATGACTCGACTGCGAAACGCTGCGGTAAATACTAACCTTATGTAAAAGGTACAATGTGTCTTTCACAAAACAGATATATGCACTTGATTGGGTTCATCTTGTCCACATCCTCTACCTTACACATTTGCCCGCTGCTATAATGTTTGAGTGTGAATTCGTATTTTTAAGAGCTTTTGATGAAACACTATATAATTGCAGACCATTTACTGTCACTTAAAGAGCCACAGGATCAGAGCCATGGAGAGCGCAGTGCCGATATTCTGTTGGTTACCAAGAGAAACAAAGATACTGTTTCTCAAAAGACATAATGCTGTTGAGTTAAAATGGCTTTTCTCAATGCTTTGGCCTCTGCAATTATATTCTCTTTCCCTCCATTTTGTTGATGTGGAGCCAGAAATCTCAGATATAGATGTCTCAAAACTTAGAAAAATAGAACTGAGATGAAGTTCACTGGGAGAAATACCATTCATAGTTTTTGGAAAAGTACCATTTTTATTTCTAATTTGACTTACAGTAAATCTTGTATCTACCCTTTACATCTACAGTTTCATTGCAATGTCTTCTTGCGCCTTCAGTAGAGATGCATGTTGATTGGCATTAATTACAGAGTATTTCTCAATGTTATGACATTAAGTGTGCCTTTCTGTAGAAATCATGTCACAGCAGGACTGTTTTTTCTTTATGCAAAAGCAATCCATGGCCTCCCATTACCTTCAATAATAATGATTTAATAAATACTCTTCAATACATCCATTTATCAAAAGTGATGATACCGTTACGTTTCAACCAGAATAACCCTGTACTTTGATATTTCTAAAGAAAAGATAAACATGCATTTGGCTGTTTTTAGCCAGGATGGCATGTTAGCTCGCAGCTATTGGCCTCAAGCACTTTTGATTTGATATTACATGTGATTGGCCAATTAATGCAGCAACAGACTTTGGTAAAGTCAACCCCGGTGTATTTAATGTAATCTTTTTCAGGACAACTCAACTTTATCAGTCATCTCCTTTTTACAGTTAAGGCTTTAAGGGGACTTTTCTATTTATGGAAAGACACATTTCAGTGATCTTTTAAAACAATATCCAAATATCAATTTCATTTCCTAGTACTAGAAGAAAAAAAAAATGTTCCAAGATAGATTTAGTTATTTTGTACTTTCTTCTACCTTCTGAGATCAAAGGTCAAGGTTAGTTACATCACCATATTGGAAAAAACCGTTCTTCAACAAGGAGGATGTTGCTTTTATAAAATCTTCAAACCTAAGTTTTCCAGTTAAAGAGAAGTTATAATGCTATGCTATGGAAAGAGATACAGTGGAAGGGAATTTGCAGAGAGAGGAGTTCCTTCCATGCACAGATGGTGACATGTGCATCTTCTTAAAAAAAACGTCCCAAAACCAGAAGTCCAAACCCCCCTGCAGCACTGGTTTCAGCTCCAGCCATCCTCCCTCATCTTATTTCCATATCTTTCTCCAGTCACTGCTCCGTCACCAGAACCCTCCCTATCCCCCCAAAAACCCGACGGCTTCCCCATCCCTGTCACAGCCTTCATCCCTTCCCCAGCCAGCCCCCTGCTCCCCTGCTGAGTTAAATGGAGTGTGCCGGCGTCTGGGGAGTCGCGTGTGCTCAGTTGAGCTCGGCTCAGCTGGGCTGCCAGCGTTATAAACTTACTGTGTGATTATTGTCAGAGCGAGACTCCTCCACCCAGGAGGTCTGCGCTGATGGGTACTGTGTCACTGGGTACAGCCAGCCATGGAGGGTGGGATGAGAGAGCAGAAAGGAGGTTATAGAAACCAGGGGTGAGAGAAGGACATGAAGAGAAATACTGTCAGTGGGGGTGATGGAGAACAGAAGTCAAGGGAGGAAAGGATGGAAGAAGAATGGAGGAACAAGCAGGAGGGCAGGGAATCATCAAAAGAAGGAACAAAAACAAGCTGGGCGAGGAAAGACTGATGTGTACCTATCTTGGCAGACAAAGACAAGGGAAGACACACAGGGAGGGATATAAAAAGGGAGAAGCAGAAGAATAATGTGCTCGGAGAAGAAAGAGAGGCAGCAGGGAAATCAGCAGAAAGAGGGAGAGACAGGGCCGAAGAGAAAGGCAAAGAGAGAAATTAGAGAGAACACTTTCAAGCCAGTGATGTGTGCCGTGATTGTTTTCTCTCCCTCTTTCTCTCTTTCTCTCTGTCTCCCTCTAAACGGTTGGTCGGGATGTGGCCGGTATCTGCCGGCAAGAAGGAACTCAATTTGGGACAATTTACTCTGCAGTCTCAGCCCTGATGCACCTCAGGGACAGAGAATGGAGAGAATGAATGTGAAGGGAGATAGAATCAGCAAGCCACACGCACATGAACACACACACACACACACACACACACACACAATTGCCGGCGAGTAGATTTCACTTAGTTAGTTCTAACTCTCCCAGGCGGTCAATACGATTTGAGTTTATAAGGCTTGGAAATGAAAAGCCCAGGATAAGGTTAGATAAACTGTGTGCTATTTGATTTCGGCCCACCTTCTTGCAGAAAAACCCACACAAGACAGATGGCCAGAGGGGATGTGCTGATATGAAGTTGTGCAAAGGGTCATGTGGTTGATTAAGGCAGGAGAACGTTATGTGTTTTGACCTTATTGGTCCCTGCAATGATGAAAACTTAGATTTTCCTCGCATCTTTTGCCTTCCAAATCAGAGTTCTGGAGGGCACATAATTTAGACAAATTCTTAATAAAAAAAACTCTAACTTCATGGACCTCATAATACGGTGGCCAACCTGTGCAAAAGCGCTAAAAAGGTCCAAAACACTTGAAATGCGCTGCACGTTCAAAAATGATGTACATTTAAAATATGCCAAAACGCATCCAATTTAAGAAACGTCTTCACCAACTTGAAAAAAAAAATCTGACTAACTATAAACTTTATATATCTCCAAGTGTCAACAAGCGCTCAGGTCCCAACTCTGTGCATCACTTTTTAGTGTCCCTGTTTCCGTTGTGGTTTGAGCTTCTTGCAGCGTTTTGTATTCGCAGTGTTTCATTTATTAAACGATGCGCATGTTTCATCTGGTTGGTGAATGTTTTCTGAAGATTGCACAAAGATTTTTCTTCATTTACAAGGTTTTTGCCACATTTGTTTTATTAACATCGTTTTTGAACATTACTTTACATTACATGTTACTTGTTAGACGCTTTTATCCAGCGTCCTAGCGACTTACATACATTCAGTACTGCAATCCCCACAGGAGCAATTTGGGGTGAAGTGTCTTGCCTAGGGAGACAACGACATGGTGACTGCAGTGGGACTCGAACTTGCTCTCCCCTGATCCGAAGATCAGGCCGCTATCCCACTGAGCCACAGTCTCCCTAAACCTGCAGCATGTTTCTTCTAATAGAAGTGTTTTAGGCCGCGTTTGCACTTGTCGGCCACCGTAGACATTTTCTGACCGCACCATTTGTTTCTATACACTAACAGGTGGGCAGCCTGGAGGATGTTTACAGCCTTAAAGACAGCAGGGGGCGCCCTGACAGAGCCGCCTTTGAGAACACACTTTCCACTGCAGTAGGGGTGAGTATTTTACCTATTGTATCAAATAAACTCTGCTCAATAGAATACTCATCACACGATGAATAGAAGGGGATCAAGCCGCAGCTTCCTAAAAGAAGCCGCTCTGAGGTTGTTTTTTTTTGGCCTTACTCGCACTGTCTCTGTAACACAGCGGGAAATGGATTTGTAACTACATCAAATCAGAGCGTTCAGCTACTTAGACGTGACTGTTTGATACATTCAACACGGCCACGTCAAGGTGAATTCACACTGTGGCATCGGTTCTGATTTCACACAGCATGTATATGCAAATGGCAGTTCATTTGGCTGCCGTTGCTGTTTTAATCAGGGTCTAGTGTTGATTAGCGACAAGGATGCAAAAAAAAAAGAAACAGATCCATGTGGTGAGTAATGGCTGAAAGTTGTTTACCTTGCTCGTGTGCCTGTTCCATCCAATATCACTATATGCCTTGCCCCCCAAACCCCCCCTCGCCACCTTCAACAAGCCGTTCTGCATCACCCTTCGGAGCGCACAATGCAGCCTCCTCAAAGGGCTTTTGTTGCCAGGGAAACCGTCACCCACGGAGACATCCCATGACAGCACGGGGAGAGGGAAGAGTGGGGGGGATGCAGCTTTTGGCCCTGGTCGTTCTCCGGGGTGCACCAGACCTCTGGCCCTTCCGCAACACACTGCCCCTTCAGAGGCACACACACTCTAAAAACACAAGGCAGCAGTATACCAAAGAAAACCACACTCATGCATGCAAACACACTAGCAGAAGAAAGAAATGGACAGAGAGTTAAAGAGAGAGAAGATTCCCAACTTTCTGATTCAGAGTTATCATCTGAATCAGTGTGCGTGTGATTAATTGAAGTAATTTATTCACAATCTCCAGTGACTCCATGTATGGTTCATGATTTCATTAAACTGTAACTTTAATTACTTTTCTACAATCGTAACTTTAGGTGAAATGAATTTCCACGCCTTGAATGTCCCACATATCGTAATGAGTCTTACATTTAATGGATTGCACAAATAATGTTTTGGGATAATGAACGATTGCATACTTAGACATTGCATCCTTAGCAGGCAGTTTTTTAAACACCTTGCATCATTTTTTGACTATATTCCTTTTATGTGGACTAATCAATTTAGCATTGAGGCAAGACAACATCTCTATCAATAACCTTGAAAGGAAACCTTTTTATTTGCTAAAATAATGCCGTAGTCCTTTAAACTACCAGTCAATATTGTCATATGTGTATGGGAGATGTATTTATGGAGGGTTATGTGTTGCCAAACACAATTACAGTGTGTTGGCTACAGCTGTTGGCCGGCTGCCAAAGCTGGAGCTGTACTCCATCCGCCCACCTCTGACCAGGCTGCTGTCTGCACAGAGCTGCATGCTGCCTTTCACTCCGCATCGTGCTGTGCATTGCATGGCAGGTGGGTTAGATTACGGTGCATAATCATTAATGCAGCATGCAAGGTTTATTAAATCGTAACCATGAGACATAATTCATGTTTTTAAATATTAGTGTTTAGAGGTGGCTACTAGTTAGCAAACAATGCTTAAATAAGATGTGCTACTTTTGGAATGAATTGAATTTGTTACCATTAAGGACTTAGTTACCGGTGCATCATTGTGTAGCAAAGGCTACGAAGACTGTGTTTTTAGTGGAGCTGAATGATTGTGTCAAAGTTCCAAATTCAAAATAAACTTGATTAAAATTCCCAAACTGGCAAAATCCTGTTAGATCTTCAGAAAATGATATAAGACGTCAATATTGCATCCTCTGAGGCCATCATAAAGGTCAGAAACCTACTCCTCTAAACATCACAAAGAAACAACATATTTTATTAATCTGCCGTCACTAGAGGATGGATGTCAAGGTAACATGCTCTAGAGAGCGTCCCATAATATGAATATACCTTCATCTTCTCCTTACCCTAGTCCAAGCCAGCCTCACAGAAGGTTTTTCAGACCACCAGCACGGCACAAACTTGACATTTTGTTTTAGATTTGAACATGGCCAATGGAACAGAAGTCATGTACTTATACTATCCCATGATACTGTGTATGGCTTTGTTATGACATCTGTTCCTATAGTAAAAGACAAGTGTATCTATTTTGCGAGACTTTGTCCCGCAATCAGTCGCTTGTTCTGGAGATTTCAATAATAGTCAGCTAATGATGTTGCTTAGCTGTGAATTCATTTGGTTTCAAGCAAACATGAACACTTAGTCTTATAACAAAAACATTGTAGGAACATGTAAAGTTTCAATATATAGTGTTCTATGAAGACTATGTAGTAACTATGTAACCCTTTCTCTCATGTACTTAAATAAAAACCATATTTATTTAAACAGATGTATTCAATTATTGCATGTTCTATTTGTATTTGTCTATGTTATTTACAGTATCATATTATGCAATAATAGTGTACAAAAGTTAATATTTATTGTGCTTAATACAATGCAACAATATGATCAATACAAAGTGAAACAAAAATGATATTGTCAAACCATTGCCAACAAATGAAGATTCATTGTGAAATATCAAAACATTTCCTGTTTCATCTCAGTTGCTGTTCTTTTTCAATTCTTAATGAAAGTGAAATAGTTCAGTTACTCATGAACATGATTAATGGTGTTCCATAACAAAGGAATAATAAAAAACACTTCATAAATCAGTGCAATCAAAGCAGTCCAGTGGAATGGCTCTCTGAGGCTCTCACATGTGTAGAGCTGTGCTGTACTATACACACACACACACACACACACACACACACACACACACACACACACACACACACACACACACACACACACACACACACACACACACACACACACACACACACACACACACACACACACACACACAGTGTAGGTCCATAGTGGTTTCTCAGAGGAGGGGGTGGTTTTGCCACCATGTAATCCCGGTTGTCAGCATCCCTCTGTCAGCAAAGCAACAATCAGCTGTTGTATTAATCGCCCTGCTAATGATGACACAATTAGCAAGGCTCTGGGAAATACAGCTCCACGCAAACATGTGAGGGCTCGGAGACAACATGCCACATGCAGCATCAACACATGCATTTTGACTTAAACAAATACGAAGCAAGACCTGCCATTAACATGATCAAAATACATGCATAAAGGAATATATACACACAGGGACAACACAGGTATACAAAATATGGCGTCCTTAAGATGCGAGATAATAACATCCAATTGTTTCCTTCTTTCTCCCTGCCTCTACTTTGTTTACTTCAGGCTCCACCTCCCCTTGTTTACCCTCTCCCTAACTGTCCTAACTAGCAGACCTCTTGCCTTTTCATTCTCAAACACACAGACATGTCTCTGACTGAACTCTACACTGACCTTTTACAAAATGTCTCCGATACTAACCCCCTGCCAGCTCCTGACATACACTCCCCGGTCCCTGCTGGTGTACACACACTTAACACACACACTCTGAAAACCACTGTGCACAGTTTGTCCCCGTCGTCTGACTTCTTTTTCTTTGTCTTAAAATATGTCTAGTTAGTCTAACTGCAGCTGGGTGTTATTGTTGCTACCTCCCTAGCAGTGAGAGAAGTTGGAAACATAAGCAGCTGCACTGTCATTACGTTGTCAATTCATAAACGAAAATGTAATTGAAGTTAGGCAAGGAGAAGCAAGTTATTCCCATAGAAGAACGTGGAAACATGAGAGGTCAACCAACCAACCAACCAAACAAACGTGACTCTTTTCGAGGGGTTACCTCCTCAAGCCAATCAGTGTAAGGTTGTCTTATCTGTGGCAAATCTTATAGTAAGCAAACATTCTTGCATCTTTTGCACATACATTTTTTTCCCACAATGCATTATATTTGATAGAAACAAAGAAGGTCACAATACAATAAAACAACACTAAATCTGTGAGATATATATTATTCAGTATAAACATTATGTATACGTGTCCCAAATCCATGGGATGGTAATTGAGTAGACAAATTAGGGATTTTGGACACAGTCTCTCACCTTTTTTACTGTGTGATGAAAACGTGCATGCATGTACTCAACTAATCACAATAATTAGTCCAAATGGTGCCTCTCCATTTGATTATTACCAGCCAGATCTGTACTCATGTGCGAGGTTGATTAAAAATATATTCATTTTGTTTGTTTGTTTGTTTTGTAAAGCAAAGTGACCTACTTGCGATGTCCAATTAGCTAGAGTTCATACTAGCTCTCTAGATTTGCTTTGTTTGGAAGCATGGTTTAATGCTGAGCTAGTTTAGTGCAATTACTTAATGATCAACATTGTTTATTAAACTTGGTATTTGATGGTGCAGTCATGACAAAACAAAGTAGACAATCTTAAAATTGGGCTCTTTAGCTTTGACTTTAGAACGTTATCCCACTCTTCTCTGCTAACAAGTGGAAGATCCTACAAACAAGAGAATCTCCTGTGTACAGCTCTCTTTAGCTCATTACAGTGGGATGGGGATTCCAATACTTTGATTATGATTCTTTGAAGCCATGCTTTGGTGGACTTTGATATGTGCTTTGGATCATTGTCATTTCAGGAATTTCATATTCCTCTTCATCTTCAGATTATTTCTGACAGAGGCCAATAGGTTTTGTGCCTTTTTGGGAAAATCATTATCCTGTCTATCTTCACAAGACATGACTATCTGAAGAGAACAGCCCCAAAGTATGATGCTACCTCCACCCTGCTTCCCAGGAAGTATGCTGTTCCTTGGATGATTGGCTATATGGGCTACATGCCAAACATCTTCAGAATTCTGGCTGAAGGTTAAACTTCTACAGAAAATAACACATTTTCCCACATGACTGGAGGACTCCTTTGGCGTAATGCAGACTGGTTAAGATGCTCCTTTTTCATTTTTAGCCAAGTCATGTGCAGAAAAGATGGTGGTCACAGGAGTCAGCACCTCCCAGAGATTCCTGTAGTTTCCTCAATGTTAGTAGCTCCTGTTTTCTCCTTGCCCTCTCTTCAATTTTGGAGG